ATGTAGAATGATTAAATCTGACTATTGATTTTAAATATCGCTTGATTTAGTCATTTAAATAGGTAGAGTTGTTATTAATGGTCGTTATAAATAAAATTGTGAAATTTAGAAAACTTATGTAAATTGTACACATTGTATTGTAATTAAATTTAGATAAACACATTGTACATATTCATTGGATAAATCTGTTTGCACTCATGTTCAATGCATATGCGTCCAATATATGCATGCACTATAATAAATGTATGCTCATAATTAAAATAAATACATGTCGAATGTATTTAGGTACACGTGTACAATGCCAAATGCACACAGTACAATATATATATATATATATATACATATATATATATATATATATATATATATATATATATATATATATATATATATATAAGAAAAAAATTACCTTTAAGTAATTTTCTTTTAAGTCATAGAATGCGAAATGGACATGAATCGAATTTTTACCTCTTATTCAGTTTACACATTGTATTAACAAAAATATCGAAATTGTTTTTATAGATTCATAGAATAATCTCATTCGTTTGGGGTCGTTCAAATATTACGCAAGTGCATGTTTTAGGCAATTCTGGATCTTCGGAAAAGTCGAAATATCCCCTTTCTTTGTTTTTTGCTCTAACTTTGACTTGTATTGTAGCAATCTTGTTTCAGAATTAAATTGAAAAAAAAGAAAAGATATAACTTTGCGCAAAACAAAATTAACGTTATAATTAATTTTAAAAAAAATTTGAGTGGATATTTTTTGAATCTTTAGTATTTTTCTTTTGTGGTCTAAATTCGAAACTCTTTTAAGAAATTTTTTCCAACTCTTTCTTTCCCCGAATTTAATTCGAAAATTGAAATTCCTGAGACGATTTGGTAAATTAGAAGATTTTAATATCTTACATATGTATCGCTCAAACTCGTCCTCCCCCTCAAATAAGCATAGCACAAATGTAATATTTGAACTTAATATTTGAATGACCTAACTATTACATTAGACAGTTTAAATATAGATTTCAATCCTTCTTATTTTTTAAAATATTGCATCTAATTGATAGGCTGTTCTGATTGATAGGAATAGATAACTGTTCAAGAGATTGTTCTTGGTGCAAAACACTACTGATTACCAAGTAGGCAATAGTAATTTCTTGTGTACTGTCAGCGAGAGGAAATTCCGTAAAATTCCTATGTACATATCTGAAAACACTACTAGAGACAATTTGATGTAACAGTGTCATATTTAGAAAAAGTGCTGTATTGCCTTAAGCTCTTTGCATAAATGACTACTTATTTACCGATTCGAAAAAAGGTGTTCCAGATTTTTTTTATATCCGCACATTTTTCGACTAAATCAACTTCAGCACCATAATCGCTGATAAAAAGCAGTGAGTAATATAAAATCAGGCTAACATAAGCATGAATAAAAAAAGCAGCCCATCAAGATCAAATAAAAAAACGCAAACGATAATTTTGCAACTTCTTGGTTTCAACATTGTTTTCCCGTTTCTTCTTTTTATTTTCCCAACGTTCATTTNACGTAGTTGTCATAATCGTAGTCAATTAGAGTATTCCGTGCCCATTTTTGTTGATCAGTGAAATTATTCAGTTATTCTTGACTAATGAATAAAGAATAATGAATGATTTATTCTTTATTCAGTTTATTTCTGACTAATGAATAAATCTTTATTCATTATTCAGGAAGATTTTGAATAATTATTCATCATTCCTTATTCATTATTCTGAAAGACAAATGCCCATCTTTGCTGCCTAGTAAGAAAATTTAGCACATGCATGAATTGCATTTACGTATGCAAATCCTGTGCTGTAAAAATTATACTTGCAAATAACTTTCGCACTGGATAACGATACTCCACAATATCTGGCATGTAAGCAAACTACAATGAACTACATAACATTCCACACAGGAAACAGCAGGAAGCAGATTGATGAGTGAGAAAGTAATCAATCCATAAGGCTTTGATTGTTACCAGCATTTGAGATGTAACAACACTCCCTTGAAGATACGTACTGGTACATTTATTTACGTTGCACTAAAACTGCACAATGGGCTATTTGCGACGGATTGGGAAACATTAGTGAGGATGACTTGGAGACAACATGCATACGTCACATCCCGTTATTCAAAAAGGACACATTCACAAACCATCTATCCATCCGCAGATCCCAATTTTATACGATTGTCGTATGTCACTGTGTTCGATTCGTCAGTACTTCCAACACTTGCTACTCAATTAAGTTGTGGGATGTAATCACGAATTTCATAACGGAAGATCATCAATGATATTGACCATTCTCACTGTATGCGATTGCACGTCAATGTGATCTGGTTCTCGTGGACATATATCCGATGTCGCATATGCGATTTTTTCTCTCCTCCGGTGCCGAATCGGTAGGTGGAACAGTAATGGATTTGAATATTCATTCGTTATTTTTTCTCTTGGCACTTGTTTCGCAAAAAGAAATAAATTGTTTCGTTATTTTTTCAAATTTTTTTTTTAAATTTAAAAATCTATTTCAAGAGAATTTTCTAAAAATGAAAATATAAAAAACAGATTTATTTCAACTGCACATGAGAGTCTATGAATCGGACTCTAGTCCGGTGGGGCCAGGGCTTGATCTTCGACTCCTCTAAGACCCAACGAGTACGTGCGATATACGTGTTCGTAAAATCTGTGCAATCGAAAGTCCTGTGTTGCTGAGCAGTACCATGGATACAGGTATCTGCAGAAAATGTCCTTCTCTTCAGATCTATGTCTAAATCACGGAAGTGACCTTACTAGTGAAATCCTCTCTACAGAGGATTAAAATTGCGATGACATGCCTTCGAATCATCTACGGTAATGTTTCCCAAACCATCGCCAGGATGGGTGGCCTAATGTAAACAATAACAAGCATCCTTAAACCGGAAGAAATTTAGAAAATTTCCGGTATATCCCTCCGCTTATGTTATGACTAGGAGGTGATGTGTGAACAAGCCTAATATTCTATGCAGTTTTGTTATTGTAATTTGGGTTCAAATCTAAACATAATTGTACCATTCATAAGAGCTTTCAGAAATGTATTGATTCTCAGAGGTCGAAAGGCCAAAAAAAATTTTGGAAAGTTAATATCTCATTGTGAATAATTCTCAAGGTTTGCCATGTTTTGTATTTTATGCCTTATTTGGCTACATTTGAATAAAATGTCGCCAAAAATATCTTTGAAAATATCTTTTTAAGTTAGCCTAATTAGAATGATTATAATATTAATATGATAATGCTGAAGTTTAAAGGCTGAAAGAAAGAACTCGGTACATGTGAAATACTGCAATCTGCGTTTTTTCAATCTGCGGCGTAAAAATATATCGGAAGCAGTAATCCGGAAATCTTGCGAGAGCAATTTAACCACTAGCGCCACCACCCTTAGCTTTACACGATCACCCATCCATAGATCATTGTCATTGATCATCTCCAGTTCGTGCGACGGAAAAAAATTACCTAAGTCGTACCTCAATTACGCAAGGAAGTTTACAACCGGTTTGAGGCGGAACCTCTTAACTGTTGGTGTTTGAATGTTTATGTTTGCCTCATTAGTTAGATGATCTTCCAAAGAAGGAAAGATGTTCAACCTATTCTATAACACTATAACTTAACAAGTTCTGGTTTTGTATGTTATAAAAAAGAAAAACCTCTTGAGACTGGTTTCTTTTTGAGGATGGTATGGGTGTGAGCATTTATGTTAATAAGCACAATGAACGCTACTCTAAGATTATTTTAAGTCAGCAGCTACGCGAGTACGCTAGTAATCAGATTCTTTCGATCTGTATACAACACATTTTGTTCTATGAGTCACTCGTGGCGCTGGCGCACCCTCACTATGCCTAGTACCATGTAATGATTCATATTTATACAAATTGCATACCAGCCAACATTCACTCTTTGCAAGAATGGATTTTCCAAGTGGTAGTAAAACAATTACGGAAAAACTATCTTCCTCAAAAATATATTTATATTTTAATCAGGTAGAAATACGCTATCGTAAGGACTAATACGCTTTTATATATTTGTTGTAATTATTTATATGTAGTGGTGGTCAAACTGATTTAAAGTTTTTATTATTATTCAAAAAGTTTAGTGAAATAACATGAATTTCGCTAGTACTTTAAATATGAAAATAAAATCTTCCGGGAAAACCGGAAGAGTTGGCAGCTATGAAATTGTGATGTAAATCAATAAACATCCGGGGTTCCAGTGCATCTTCCCGGGTGTAACTTTCACAATACAATCTTTTTGCTGCTATTTTCGCAATACAATTTTTTTAGTTGTCTGTGCATTTCCTTCTGTCAATCCGTAGATCATGTGCATATCTGCCAGCTCCATTTTCGTAAAACGTTGCCTACTCCTCTACGAGCGATGACAGCTCAAATGACTGTGGCAATGTAGATCTCTTTCATCCAATGCTTTTGTGAACAGCACCACCTATCGGCGAATGAAGACGTTTCCGATCATGTTTTTCTCTTCTCGATGCATTTAATCCCTCCCCTGAGTATGTCGATCAAATTTTTGAGTATTTTTTTATATTTTATAAAATATAATATTCGTGGTCATTAATGAATTAAAATATTGGTGCTGGTTTCATTGCTTTACTTCTGAACTTTTACTTTTTGATTACTACTTTCACTACTTTCAGAGCTACTCTACTACTTTTGCTTACAACTTTTACTACTTCGACTATTTTTGAGCCAGACTACTTTTACTTTTTACCACTACTACTACTTTTTGAGCCTGAAAAAACCTGTTATCTGGTAAACAAGTACAAGCTTTAAATTAAATTGTTAAGTTTGTAACAAATTGGAAAAGTATTATAGTTCAAAACACCGAAATTAACTCCTTCTTCGCTGTCGTCTCTATTCATTGATAAAACCCTTTCAATGAAATTAACTTTTTTGCGTCAAATGATAAACATTATCAGATAATTTCACCGATCTTTTTATCTTTTATTATCAGCGATTATAAGTAGGTGTTATTTTTTGTTCATATAAAATAAAAGAAACAATTATCAAAATTCAGTTTAACCTAATAACCATGACTCTTATTTAACTCATCTTATCAAAATTATAATGATGTGGAAAATTGCAGTATTTCTGAAACATATTAGTATCGTTATTTTCTTGTGTTTCGTTTTACCAAAAATTAAGTGTACCGATATAAAATGTGACGATTTAGAAGGAAAACAACTTTTGATAATAAACGATGAAGACATATATGATAAGATTAAGTATGGAACTTTAAACGGTAAGTGCTCTTTCTTCATTTCAGTTTTGTAAGAATTGAAAATATTGTATTCAATATTGTTATTGTAAAAAATTTCTTTGATTGACTTTATGTTTAAAATTTAGCTGAAGAACTTATACATTAGTATGTGTTAAAAAGAAATTCAAAGCAATATCGAAAAGAATCTAGATTAACACGTTGAATGCCGTGCTAATTTTACATGGCTTGCCCGTCTGACCAAACTGTAAATAACTACAAACAAAATTTGAAAATATTAGACAGATTATGCTTGTTTTTCAAAAGGTTTAGCATGACGAATCTGAAAAAAAGCAGTGAATTATATAAGCCAACGAATTGTTTAGAAATAGAGGTGAACAAAAATCTACTAAATTAAATTTATTTAACAAAAAATCACAATTGATAAACTACCACTTGAAAATATTTATTCGCTGTCCGGAGCAAGCTGGCATCGCTAAGTATTTTTAAACTATTTTTGTGTGGTGTGTTCGATATTGCATTAATTTCTTCAAACCATTTTAGTAACGATAATATTATTAAAAAAATTAAACATTTACTCGAATTATGTATTTCTATTAATCTTGGCTTCGCCGGTTACCGTTGACCTCCGTGACTCTACGAACAAACTCAGTGCCGGTCACCAAAGTAAAATTAAAAAGATGTAAAATTTAGACCAATAGCTGTTCACTTCACATCCGACGCCTCATATCACAACTATCAACATAAATAATTATTTACAGATCCATTCAAAGCATCAAATTCAATTGCAATACAGAAAACCTGATCAAGCGCTTCCCCACGTTGACCTTCAAGCGAAATTCAACCACACATAGTTTAGAGCAAGATGCTCCTTATAATTTTCATTAGTTTTATTTACTCAAGCAGGGCTCTTGAACTCTAATAACAGCCACCACACAGTCTTTTTTTGTCGTATGCCTGTTTAAGCAGTGGGGGGTGCAATTGTTCCTGTTTTTTTTAGTGGCGCCATCTATGACCAGGAATTCGACTTCTGCCACGCCATTCACACAACCACAACCCGTTTATAGGGAGGATAGTGGTTCTTGTCTCACCTTATTGTTCGTCTAAAACGAAGTTAATGTTTGAACTGTTTGCAAGCTTTTTTATCCCAATAAAATTCAAATTTTGAATTCTCGTGATCATATACCCTGANGCTGACCACATAAAGTTCCACTACAACTACTTATATAATCATGATGGATGGATTATATTTGGACGAGTTAGAAATTTGTTGCCGTAAAGCCAACTATGCTTTTTACATTTGTTGTATGTATTTATATGTAGTGGTAGTAAAACTCATTTATATTTATTAAAATTCCAAAAGTTTAACGTAATAACATGAGTATATTGATACCACTTTAATTATGAAAATAAAATCTTCCAGAAAAACCGAAAAATTGGGTAGCTGTGCCTTTACTTAATGTGCAGCATTTGCATAGATAAAATAATTATTGCCTACTTTGTTACCATCGCTTTGCTCATTATACTAAAAATAGGTTCCCGTACCTTCAGCTAGGCATCTGGGACTGCTCGCGGCACTAAAAATGGAACTGAAAGCTAATATGTATATGCTACTAAAAATGCCTGAAGTCTGGTAAATTCGAGGTTTTACAGGTAATATCTAGGATTTACCAAAGTGACTAGATAACTCTTAGGTTTTTCTGAAAATGCCTGGTAATAAGGCGTATTAACATTAAGGCATGTTTCAGACTTTCACCAAGCCGCTTTGGTAAAACCTCGGTTTTACCGGTAACCTACGATTTACCAGGATTGTCACTTTAACATACATTTCAACACGGAAAAAAGCAAAAAAACATGTAAGAAAATAATTTTATTACAGTTAGTTTTCGGGAAAAATAAAATATCAATTACAAATAATTTTTTTAGCAATTATGATATACAGTCAGACAGTTTCTAAGCCGAGAAAAAGAATATTGGAAGAATAGTTTCCTGCCCTTTTTGTATAATATTTTATAAAGCAGTTGATAATCAAAAACTAACGATTTTGGAATTTTTGGTAATTTTGCCTTCATTTAATAAAACGTAAAATTAAAGCATTGGAGCTACCATAATAGATTATTGACGAAGGTTTGGTTTTTACTCTACATGCTCCGAAGACAAAATACTGATGACTCTGTTAATTAACACTTCTTTTTGAAAACTAATTACTATTGAAAATGTCAGACTCAATAAAAGATTTGTATAACTTATAGCTAAATTAAATATTAAACTCTACGGAAAATGCCCCCTCTTGCTCTTGCTGATATATTTATTTAATATATTTAATTATTCAATGATAACTACCACCATGGCATACATTATAAATAATTAATATTTAAACTGAAATTTTTTTTTGTGAAATCACGAATAAAAATTTGAAAGTTATTTTCAAAGAGTTATCCGCAGAGACACCAACTTGCTCCTGACAGCAAATATATATTTTAAAGTGGTGGTTTATCAATTGTGATTCTTAGTTAAATAAATTCAATTTAGTAATTTTTTATCCACCACTATTTCTAAATAATTCGTAGGCTTATGTAATTCACCACTTTATGTTATTTAAGTCATGCTATACCTTTTAAAAAGCAAGAAAAAATATTTAAATATTTGCAAAATTTAGTTTGAAGTTATTTACCGTTTTCTTAATTATTTTGGCGTGTCCGGAGCAGTTGGCATCGCTGCATCCGACTTCAAGACTGAAGCCTGGCGAGATTTCCTGTGAAAGAATTGCACCAAAATAGCTAAGTTCAGGAGAGGAATCGGCAAAATCCATGAACCTCTATGTTACGTGGATCTCCCAATTTTTCTTGTCATCCTAGAAAACACTGATCACCACAGGAGTATCTACAACCTCAACAATAGCGAGAGAAACTCCATCACCATGGAAAAATACAGATGGTGGCTGGCGACAATCCCAAATGCTACCTACCGTTGCTAAATGTTCGGTCATGCGTTGAGGAACAGCAACGCAAAATCACGAAATTCATCGCTTGAAATTCATCGGGACCCTACTCCTGCACTAAGAACCAATCCGAGCTTACCTTGTGTTGTAACTGAGGTTAGCCTCATCCAGCTAACTTCACTGCCAGGGAGATCAGATTAACACGTTCACGCCGGTGTGACCCACCGGTGGGTCACGCTAGATCGTCTCATCTTGGCAGCGCACCGGAGTAAAAACTGGTAACAAATAAATTTCATTTTTTAGTTTTTTTTCCCGGGTATAATAAAAATCCATAACTACCAATTGTTTTTAACGGATGAAATTTTTATATTGAATTGTTTCTTCGCCGTGATAAATTTTCTTACAGTGAATTGTTATTGTTCAGAATAGATTAACTCCTCCCGAATATTATCTAATTTTGTAATAGTTCTTCTTTTAGAAATTTCTCTTTTTCCCGTATCAGTATTTTCACTTTTCCCGGCGTGAACGTGTTAAAGCGCAGCTACAGAAAAGGCCTAATACCACTCGGGATAAGGCATAATGACTTGCCAAGACTTAAAAAGTCTTTTTATTTACCCTGAGGGAGTCGAGATCGTCAGATTTCTTCTGCCTAAGAAAGGCAACATCAGCAAAGCATGACGGAACATAGTGGTTCTACTCGTCTTTTTAGCTGTTTACCTTTGGGTATTCAGTCATAGGAAATTGCATCTCCTATGTTTTTCTACTTGAGTGCAAGTCAACATCTCCAAGCACAGCAAACTTCATCACTACGACGGTATGCCTTTTCAGCTTGTTGCCTTTTCGCATCATCTTTTGTTCCCCACTGTTTCTTTCTGCAATAGCTTTTGAATTTTTTTCTCAATGCCCACATGGAGAATGACCTTTCGTCATACAGGTATCTGAAGGGTAGTTTTGTTAACCACTCTTTCAGGGGCACCATACTAGGTGGGCCAACGTTGCTCCTACACTAAGGACAGATAGTACAGAAAAGGAACGAACATCCATGCCGTGACCGGGATTCAAACCCGAAACCTTTCTGATTCAAGCCCAGTTCCCTGACCCCTACACAGGCCGGTCGGCTCACCTTTAATAGTAAACTGATATAAAAATGCTGAAAAAAATTGCTAACTTTATTCTCTTTTAACAGATTTCTGCTTTTTATTGGCAACTATTTTTTGCATTTTTAGTCGCCTGTGGCATCCTTGTTAAATCATTGAATTTGGAATAATGATCAGGAAAACTTTAACGACCGTGGTTAGACACCTTGATATTTACTTACTCTCAAGAAAAAAAAGACTAAAAAAAATAATTAGATGTTTCTTTTTTTATGATTGATAGCCCCCAAATAATATTTTTTATACTTTTCTTGCCTAAAGTGATGACTAGGTTCCGTATACAGTACCTTAGTTAAATATATAATAGTTCCCATACTTCCTAATTTGCCTAAGAAAACAACTATCATATGCAATGGCGGAATTTTTAAAATGCCTTTAAAAACTATGTAATAAGTTAAAGTTTGTAAATTTTTACATTAGGTTTTGGTTTTAATATTTTATAGCTAAATGCAACAGCACAAACTCGTGTAATAATGGTGCATCATGCTACAACGATGAGTGCATATGTTTGCCTGGAACTAGTGGACCATCGTGTGAAACAATCAATGGCTGCAGCGATCTAAGTTGCAATAAAGACAAAAATGCCTCCTGTGATTTTGACAAGAGGAATTTCAAAGCATTTTGTAAATGCCCATGGGGATATGAATTCGACTATGACGAAAATAAATGCAAAGGTGAGAGTTTCTTCGCTTTCTTAAAATTTTGTCTGCAATTAATCTTTATTTTTAGATTACGTTTCAAAACCGAAGAGCAATTAAAAACTCAAAATGGATGTATTATATATATATATATATATATATATATATGTATATATTNTAACAGTTTTATATATATATATATATATATATAAATAAAATGAAGGCAGTTGGTCAAGAGCAGGAAAACAGGCAGAGAATTTCAAAAATGAGCAATTTAATTCAATTTAATCATTTTCAGATGAAGGACCAGAGAGAAAAAGCCACGATTTCAACCTGCTTCAGTCTATATGTTAGGGAAAATCTTGCAAAGAAAATCCGTAAAGTGTCTCAATTTAGGGAAAGAAAGAAATCTTAGTAATAACAATTAGTTTATTAAATAGGTCACGCGATTCCCACCAAGAGTTAAGGGAAAAATGTCTTATTTTTAATTATGCACAGTTGAGCCAAAAATAGAGTAAAGAACTGGATGTTAATTTAAAAGTATGAGAAAGCATTTCGTTTTGAATAATAAATTAAGGAAAGGTTTTACAGAAAAGAAATAACATAAGTAGATTAATTGAAGCTTTTTGTGTTGCACATATTATATATACGCAATATTAATAATAATCAATAAATTATACATGTATTTAATACAAAGTTAATGATGTATTGAATTTTTGATACATACGAAACTATTAAGTAAAAAATGTACTCAGCATTTAAAAAATGTTGTTCTGCGTGCAAGTTCTTATACATCTTCTACCAAGCTTTTCTACCTCCTAGTTTTCTAGAATGTCTACCAGGGGTAAAAGCGCCCACGTTAAAGACCTAGGGCTTAAAGCTTATATAAGCTGTAAATTTAGGTCAGTATACTTTCAATAAGCTTTCTTCAAGTCCTAAATTGAATTATTGGAAATACCGGAAGAACGACTCAAATCTAATAAAAGCGATTTAATAAAAATTAATCGATAAAAATATACTTAATGAGCGATTTAATTAAAGGTCTTTTACTTTATTCCAATTAGTGAATGATGTAATTAAAGATCTTACATTTAATCGCTTAAAAGCTATTGTTAAATCGCAAATATACCCTAAGTGTTTTTTTTAAAAGAAAAATAATGAAACATACTATATAAAGTAGATAAAAGCTTTCTCCACATGCTCAGTTTTAAATAAAATTTTGTTAAAGTAATGCTGATTTGAATCATTTCTTTGTTGAATCAATATTTATACTGCCACGCGTAAATAATAATTTTCACCTTTTGCATACAACATGTGGACCACATGTGATGGTGCAGCATGGTACACCGTAAGCAAAGATTTTAAGGTTAAATCTTAAATTGTTTTATCTACCTCGACATATCCGTGATTCAAGCATATGTAATACTATAACTCTTGAACTATATCACTAATATTATACTGTGTGTAAAAATTGAACGACACACCTTGAATAACTTTTGATCAACAGATCGGATATTTACATCCTAGGACTCATTCTTAATGATTCAAAGAAGGGACCTCAAATATGCTAATTAGTTACGAAATCAGACACAAAAACGTACTTTCTCTGAATGAACATAACTTTTTTCTCTCGATGGTCTTGGATTTCTGATCCCCAAGATAAAGAAGGTGCTCGTAATTTGGAAAATACGATTACAATAGTTTGGTCAGGAAGGAGGTCCAAACTTTGGACCCTCTTAATATTAATTTTGTTTTTTTATTATTCTATTTATTGCTTTTTAAGCGAATTGAAAAATCGTTGCAAACAATTATAAAATTCGTTTATTCAAAGATAATTGAATAAACGAACCATACAAAAATAACTTTTTTCAAATATTTTTCTTTTTTATACTTTCTTTTTTATATAATAGTTACGAAAGTTTTAAGGTACGCATTTTTTACATAATTTTAAAGCATGCAATTTCAAACTGTGAGTGAAGTCGGTCGAATAGCTCCCGAGAAATCATTTAAAAAAGTTGTATTTTTAAAGATCGCGGTATGCCTTTTATTTTGGGGTCAGAAATCCGAATCCGTCGAAAAAAGGTACGTTTTTTTCAGAGAAAGTGAGTTTTGTGAATGATTTAGTCGCTTAAAATATCGTCTGCACTGATTATGAGCATATTTGAGATCACCCTTTCGAAAAATTAAGATTGAGTCCTAGAACGTGAAAACCACATCATTAGATCAAAAGTTATTCCGGGTAGTATGTTTATTTTTTTCTGCACTGTACATATTTATTAAATTTGCTATTGAATTTAAAAGTAAGTGTAATTGTTAGAGAGTTCCTATATCCTTAATTTTTACTCTATCTGGTCAAAAGTAAACCCTACGGTCACCTTAAGAGTTCATTATTATTAGCATTGGATACTTCTGACCAGATAGTGAAATTCGAAGTGAAATCATTCTCAACGGCCATGCAAATTTGCATTTATGAAGTCCACATAACTATTTCTTACAGGATTTATGAATTTAAAATTCATGAATTAAATCGTTTTTTTTTCTTCTTTTAAGAGTGTCGGTGTGATGATTGCAAAGAAGGACAACCATGGTGCACGGGATCAGTGAAGTGTGAATTCATTCAAAGTAAAAAAGCCTGCACATGTGACAGGCCACGTTACAAATTCAATCCTAAGAAGAAAATGTGTGAATGTAAGTTTTAAAAGTTTCATCTTTAATGTTATGGCATTATTCAAAGGGTTTTCAAACCCTGTCGCGGCTCCCTAAAACTGATTGCTCGAATAAAGGTCAACCAAACAGACGGTGGTTGTGCTGGTCATGTGTCAAAAATGCTTCAGTGCTTGTACTCGGCATAAATAGCTCCAAATATACAGTTGCGATAGTAGTTCAATTTTAGTGCTATAAAAAAAGTTATGTACAATGTATGTATGTGTACTGCAGATTGCAAGTAACGAATTAATCATTCAACATGATTGCCAGATTACAAAATATGAAAATAGAAGAGCATATGGACGTTAGAAGCGAGCGTAAATATTACTTTGTATTTTCTATACATTTTATTTTCTGTTATTTGTTCGATATATTTTTCACTTAATGTGTTCGATTGTCGTTTCAATTTTTTTAAGTGCTCCTCACGCTATGTATTCATGTATTTTGCTTTGGCTATATTGATACAATATTAGAAAGCACTCCTCGCGGATATAATCGTGTGAGCTATCTCTCTCTCTCTCTCACTATACTTGTACTGAATTGGGGATTGATCGTCCTCTGGTTGAGGTCAAAATTACGATTTGTGGATGAATTAATGAAGTATGATTGAGGCCTCACTGTAAAACGGGCTGTGACGTAGCCATAGAGAACGCCACTGAAAAACAGCTCCTATGTAAAAAAACGCTCCTATGTAAACGCTCCTATGTAAAAATTCGCTTGATTTCAATCAGGCTTGCTGATATTGGCAAGTAGCATTGATAACGTCAAATTTATATATTCTCTTTACTGAAATTTGGAGTACGATGTTTGTTGGTTAACTGTATTTTGTAACTTATTTTGTAATAGTGTGTTATTGTTCTGGTCATTCTGTTTCCTGTGATTTTGATGAGGATGGCAACCAGATATGTAAATGCAAAGATGGTTATGCTCAAAAGGGATGGAGTTGTGATGGTAAGTGCATATACAAACTTGTACTGCATACTTGCATACTGCATACTTGTATGAGCGTTAGAAAAGATTTTACAGAGTTGTAGTAAAATAAAAATTTAAGCAGAAAGAATGATCTAAAAATTAAACTATTACCTCCAAGACTATGCATGTTTTTTCATTAATGCATTTAATATACATGTAACGGTTTATCAATTATTTTCAACTTTTAATAATCAATATTTATACAATAAACCTATACCTTGATTAATTTGAAAATTTTTTTTTTCAGTAGTTGTAAACCAAAAACATTTTTCTATAAAATGAAAATATATATATATATACAGTGGTGGCAAAAAGTGTGGACACTTTTTGAAAGTTTCATGTTTTTCAACTTTGTGTGCTTGTAGAATATATTAATTTTCACTTAAATACGAACGTTTACATATCAAATTAAAGGTAATTTAATGTAGAATTTAATAATAAATACAGTGTTACAATATCTGTATTACAAAAAAAGTTATGCAATTAATAGTAAGATCTATCTTAGATTTGCATTTTTTTGAAGTGATACTAACACAATCAATACTTAGTAGGATAACCCTTAATTTTTAAGACAGCTTCACAGTTTCTTTTCATCGAGTGAACGAGTGTTTGAAGTTCATCTTTCGTATTCACATGGTGCCAAGAACCAATTTAAGCTTCACTTAGTTGTCTTTTATTGAATGGACGTTTTTTTCGTTCAAGAATTTTCAAACGTCGCCACAAATTTTCAATTGGATTGAGATCAGGGCTGTTTCCTGGCTATTTCTATTGTTGCATTTC